CGAACTTATTTCGTACTCGCAGTTAATTGTTATTAGAATGGTTCGAAAACTTTGTAAAATATCATAATCAAAATCCAGAATTGATGACAGTAAAGCTGCATTGGAAAATGCTCTTCTTGCTGTGTTGCCGTCATTGGAGTTTCCACTGCCATTTGAAAGAGGCTTGTCCACATTTAGGCCCATTTCTTTCATCATTTTTAATTGTAAAAGACTTTTTCGTTCTTTTAGTTTAGGCTTATCGCTGTCCTTGACATGCCACTTCTTAAGCTCCATTCTATAGGAGATTTTTAAAACAAAGTCGAAAAAGCGGATCCAAGCATGTAAAGGACTGATTCCATATTGAAGAGCTTTTTCATCAAACATTTCCTTGATATTTAACAATTTGACAACTATCCCTCCTTCAGCAGGATCAAAATATTGGACTATCAATGGGAACATTTTTAAATTACCATGATTACTCGAATCAGTGCCTATACTAAAGAAAGGTGTCTTTTTCAAATCTTGCACTACCATTTTAATGGAATGAACAGATAGAACCTGATTTACAATAGCTTCGGTTTTTGTACGTCCGCAAGAAACATTTTTTCCTGCATGAGAATCGCCAAAGAGTGAGCGAATGAGTTGACTTGTGCAGTCCATGGATCTGTAGCTTTGATGACGTTTTATGGTGTGGTATGCCAAAGTTCCTTCAGCCGCCCAAACTGCATGTGCCTCTGTTGCTGATTTTTAATAAGTGAAGTCCAAAATGGAACGCGAAGTAGATGCATCTTGCACTTTTTTTGAATGTTTTGGTGTAACGAGGTGTTTTTCCAGATCAAGTATCCCTACAATTTCACAACAGCAATCAGACGATATTTCATGAAAAAAGAGAAAATACAAACCACTATTTGCAACTGACACCTCACAATCACAAACAATGCAAGGTGCAAAATATGCAGATTTCCCATCGCTAAAACTACGAGAATAAGTTTTTCTCAACTCCTCTGTAAATGTACACTTGTGTTTGGTTGAATTCGACGTGGTTTTCAAGCGTTTGTGATCGGGTGACTCGGACATTATGCCGTGTTAATTGTCACAAGCTTGTTGTCCCTGTCGGGTGTCAGGTTAGATTTTGCTTTACCGAACTTCGCGTTGAAAACATTCAGACCATTCGATTACTTGAAACCTGAACTTCCAGGATCTTGAAACAACAAGTAAATTTTTTTTTTTACAATAAAGCTCTCAACTAATCTAATCGTAATTAGCGTTTATAAAACATTCAGAATACTTACGAGTTGGTTGTTTTGTTACAGATTGACTGATTGAGAATAAACAAGAAATGAAAGCTAACTTCGGGCGGAGCCGAAGTTTATATACCCTTGCAGTTAAAACCGGATATATATCGCAAACATCGGATATAGTTGGCCGATCCTTATGAGAATATGATAATATAACCCAATTTATTATAATACAAAAACCAAACCTAAAAATGTCCCAAACTTTTATCTTCAAAAACACAAAAGTTGGGTCATTTCCGATCGTTCAGTTATATAGCAGCTATAGGATATAGTCGGCCGATCCTTATGAAATTTGGCATGTCGTAATGTTTTGCCAAAAAATGCTCTCATGTCAAATTTGAACTCTGTAACTTTAAAAACGTCAAAGTTATACCATTTCCGATCAATCAGTTACATGGCAGCTATAGGATATAGTCGGCCGATCCGGGCCGTTCCGACTTATATACTGCGTGCAAAGGAAAGAAGGGTGTGTGCAAAGTTTCAAGTCGATAGCTTTAAAACTGAGAGACTAGTTTGCGTAGAAACAGACAGACGGACAGACAGACAGACGGACCGACGGACAGACGGACATGCTCATATCAACTCAGGAGGTGCTCCTGATCAAGAATATATATACTTTATAGGGTCGGAGATGTCTCCTTCACTGCGTTGCACACTTTTGACCAAAATTATAATACCCTCTGCAAGGGTATAAATATAACATATTGTATAAAGTTAGTGCCAATATTTGGCATTAATAGACTTTAAAAATACCCGTTGCGTTATGTGATTATCAGTCATTCGACTCCTTGAATCACAAACGACGCATTTTATAGCCGAAGCCAGTCTCTCCGAAGGCACTGAACTTCCAGGTGTAATTAGGTATTTCCGGGCGAGTTGATACAATCCTGGCATAGCCACCTTGTGTGCATTCCAAAATGTTAGGGGATTACTTTCCCATGATGTTTGGGGCAAACTGAGATATAATTTTAGCTCGCTGTGATCAGTGTTTTGCAACGAAAGGCCCTATTGACCTATTGTGGTCCTCCATAAAATCTGTTCCTCTGCATTGTCATCAGAAATCTGTAATAATTTAAAGGAAATTAATATATACTTTATTTTTGCTTCGGAATAATAAATAATTAATTAATGAATTAATTACGTTGAGTTATTATTATTGTTTATGTAAATGTAAGTATTACTATTAAATTATATACATGATTACGAACTCTAAAATTTGACATACCGGGGTTTCCTTTGAAAAGGTAGAAATTTCGTTTAACAAATCATTTGTTGCCTCCTGTACCCCGATGGGTGATATGTTTAAAGAAATGTACATATCACCCATTGGATCTTTTCTTGGATCAAGAAAAGATGATTTCACCAATATTTTATTTGATTCTAGTGGTTTTAACCGTTTTTCCATAAATTTGCGAAGCGACTCTTTTGTGATAATGCCCTCGTCCGATTCAATTTTTAAAATTTGTATGTTTTTTAATAATAATGCAATTAACGGGATCACCATACTAACAGTAACATAGTTTTCACCGCTTATTTTCTCGGTTGCATCTTTAAATGGGCTCAAAAGCTTACAAAAATCGCGACAAATATCTAATTCTTTAGCAGTCAGCAGTTCTGGTATTGCCTTAGAGTATTCTGCTTTCTTTATAAGAATAATTGATACTTTGTTTACAAGCCCTAAAAAGGACATCAACATGTCCAAGCACGAGTTCCATCGCGTGTCAATGTTTTGGACCAAGGTCTTAATACAACCTTCTGGAACTCCCTCATTGGACTGAGCTCTTCGCAGCTGGTCCATTAATGCAGGGCTATGCTTAAAATGCATCACAATTTTTTTTACTTTGTCCAAAATATTAGAAAATGACGAAATCTCCTTTACGGTATCATCTACTAGCAAGTGGATTGTATGGGCCAAGCATGGAACGTGTTTCCCAATCCCAAGAAAACATTTTGATGCGGCTTTCATGTTATTGGCATTATCTGTGGTTAGTGTTGAACACTTAGACCGACTTATATTAAATTCATCGCAAGCGCTCTCCAACAATGAACTTATATACTCGCTGGTATGAGACTAAATATAACACGAGATTTTTTTTTTAATTTTGGACTGCAGCAATAACAAATAAGTGACAAATAACTAAAACGGACAATATATAAGACAAACACGATTTACAATTACTATAACACACTTTCAAATACGTATTTAATAAATAATATTTATATTTGAATATTAACTAACCTGATCCATTCTAACGGAGTTTAGGCAAATCGCCTCGAGACATCCCTCGTTTATAAAATGCGCCGTTATGGTAAGAAATGACCGAGTTGAATTTGTAATAGTCACAGCATCGCAGGTGAATGCAAGTGATCTACTTGGTCAAAAACGGTCTTGATTCTTGTCACCAATTGGGTGTATTTGTCTTCCAACAATGCTGTTACCTGGAAAACAATATATATATTTAAAGGTGTACTGACGTGTTGAAAAAAAAAATTATAAAAATAATTCTTACCTTGGACCGGCCAGGAATTTTAAATTGCGGAACACACTTTTTAAGAAGGTATGTTAGGCCTTCTTTTTCGACGCATCTGACAGGCATGTTGTCCTTGCAAATCATAAAAACAAGGGCCTCTGAAATCTCATTAGCCCTATGTCCATCGCCTAAAATAAAGAAACGGTTAATAAAAACGGATTACACATTTCTTTATACATGTACATGAAAAAATCATTTCATTTTTTTTTTTCTTTCTTACTTTTTAAAGTCTCCAAGCTCCGGAATGACTCCGATATTGTTGGGTATTCTCCAATTTTGTTTTTATACACCTGCATAAATATTTCAGAATTAAAATTGAGGATGATGGTAAAATAATCAAAATGGAATTTAATTTTTTGTGTTTGCAACTGTAAACGGCCGTGCTTACGGCAGATCTTCGTATTCACATAATGTATTTGTGTGGGCACCGCTAATATATATATTTATGTGTACAACATGACGCCGTAATTTGGCGCCATTTTACCGCGAAAGTGTAAATTTTGTTTCGTGTGTGTGTAAAAAATGTAGGTTTCGCAGTAAAATGCCGCCAAATTTCACACACACGAAATAAAATCTACACTTTCGCGGTTTAATATATGAATTTATTTATATATACAAACCTTTTTTCACTGACACTTTACGAAAAATTCGTTATGTTTATTTTTAACATGTGACGTTAAATTGGTCGTGTTACCACTTGTTTTTATTATTTTATTACTCAAATTACACCTCGCTTTTCCGTTTTTGACTTCACTATAATTCTGTTTTATTAGCTTAATGTCCATTTTTCTCAAACCGCCGAGCTTCACATTTATCAATTTGATCAAAGAGTGACCAACGCAGAAATATCAGATAATATCAAAAAAAAACTATCGCACACTCGATATTTGGGGAAAAAAATATTACGATATAAATATATTATTTTTCCCAAAAAATATCGATATATTGATATATTATCAACAACCCTATCAGTTTTTAAACGGAGCGCGATGAAGAAGGTTGGCCTGCGCTTCGGTTGACCTTTGTATGTATGCGTGTCACACGTTCACATACACGGGTGTATAGAGGAAGGAAGTGAAGGTAGAACGAGACGGACGTGGTCGTGCCGCGTCCCGCTTTTCGCGCTGTTTCCCGGCTTCGCGGGGAGTAAAAAAACAAGTCTGTGAACTCCTAGGCACATAACGTGGCTCACCTGGGATGCAGGAACGAAGGGTTCCCCGTGGCTCCGTTTTCCCGGCTTGCTGGCCCCGGAGCAAGCTTTCTCCCTCTCTTTTGGTGGCATCGCTTTTCCCGCGTTGCAAATTCGCACAAATTGGGTTGTGCTGGTCAGTGATGCGGATCGCAGTACCAGCTGGTACCTGAAGAGGGCGCCACTTGGCGCCGTATCGTCGCTGCTAACGCCACCCACAGAGGGCGGCACTAGGAGAAATTTTTATAGTGCTCTTATGAGGGCGGGCGAGATCTTAGGAGCGGTGCATAAGGTCATGGACCCGACCATAGTCCAACCCCTCCGCCGCGGCGGTGCACTCTGGAAACGGGGCCCTGGCGACCGAGCAGGGGCGGTATATCCCCCATCGTAGCCCTGATGATCACGCCCACCCTCCCCCTTCTTCCCACTACAAATCCTCGTAGCGTCTGTCCCATAATGGGCGGCTACGGGGTCTGCGACTGAGCCATAGTGGCCGGCAGCGAACCTCAACCTGGCAGAAGGTATAAAATGCAAACCTGGCAGTAGGTATAAACAGCACAACTGGAAGAATGATGGTTAACAACGTAAATACTCCAGGTGGCAACCACTCAAGTGAAAATCCACCCGTGGGGAAACCCACGGTCGGGGCACGGATTCTGGAGGCCCCAAACACCATTCAACCCACGACTGACGAGGCGGTGGCTAGCTTGGCCGCCCCGGCAGTAAAGGCGACAAGCCAACAAAGTGCGGAGCAATCCTCAGCGTTTCTGAGCAGCTCCAGGACGAGGAAGGACGAGGGAACAATCCAGTCCATCAGAGCCCCAGAGATCGACTCCAGCCAAGAGGACGAGAGCGACAACAGAGCAGCCTTGCTCCAGCATGCTGGCGGAGTTAGAGGCGATATTGGAGGACATTATCCAGCAAACGCACGAGAAACAGATGAGGATCATCAATCTCAAAACGAAGAGGATGTTCTGCAGGATGAAGGAGCTACCGGAAGGCCTTAGCGGGATCCTCTCCAACCCCAGCGATGTAGGGACAACGACGGTAGCGGCGGAGGTCGTCTGTACGAGGTGCGGTCAGGCAGATATTGCGAAGACAGACCAGAGAACGCAAACCCTCCCAACCCGGCGTAAGGAAGCGGCAGCCCAGACCGACCCGTGGCGACGGCTTAACCAGGACAGCGCGGCTCCATCACCAAGAGGCGCGCCACCGGCCTCGGCAAAAGCCCCGAAAATCCGAGCAAGAGAAGGGCCCACCCAGCGGACTTCAAGCCACCCCGACGCCAGGACCGCGGGAGTAGGGGGCCAGAGCATGGCCGCACAGACCGCAGCGCCAGGACCAGGATGGGAAACAGCATCACGGAGGAAGCCAAGGACGTCCAAGGGAATGAAGTACAGCGAGGTGCTTGCCTTGGTCACCAGACGGCAGGACGGCCAGCTGAAGGAATTCAGCCAAAATGTCCACAAGGTGCGCCGCACCGCTACGGGGAACCTTCTGCTCGAGCTGGCAAAAAACCGTATGGATAGCACGGACGCCATGAGGGAGAACCTCGAAAAGGTACTACAAGTGATCCAGCTCAACCTGAATCACTGCAGAGCGGCGCAGGACCTTCTGCGACACAGCGTAGGCGAGGTGAATGCTGACATAGCTATTCTCAGCGAGCCGTACAGCGTCGGGCCAGGCGAGGAGTGGGCGACCAACAATCAGGGCAAGGCGGCCATTTGGATCTGCAACAGTTCCGCGGAAGGACCATGTCAAGTAAGAAGAGGCGAAGGGTTCGTAAGAATCCAGTGGGGAGGTACATGGTGTATAGCTGCTACCTAGCCCCAAGCCTCTCACTCGATGCTTACTGCAAGGCTCTAGAGAAGCTTGCGGTAGATACCGGAGGCAAACACCCAGTGCTAATAGCAGGTGATTTTAACGCGTGGGCACAGGAGTGGGGGAGTACCACCACGAATGCTAGAGGCAGAGCCTTGCTGGAGATCCTAGCACCCCTGGACCTCGCCCTTCTCAACGAGGGCAACCAGGATACCTACAACAGAGCAGGCGCCGGTTCCATCATCGACCCGACCTTCGTCAGCAGTAGTCTGGCACGGACTTCAAAGTGGGAAATCGCCGACATCTACACGGCCAGTGAGCACGAGGCCATACTTTGCTCGCTTGGAACCAGCCAGGCGATCTCGAGCATTCACCCCTGCGGCAAGGCGTTTCGGCAGGATACGCTAGACGTCCAACAATTGGAAACCCATATGCGAACGGCGGAGCTTGATCTCCACGAGACAGCCAACGAATCGGCGGAGGCCCTTGCTACGGTCCTTGATGCGGCCTGCGAGGCAAGCATGAAGGAGCGCACGAACTTTGCTCGGCATCACAAGCCGGCCCCGTGGTGGACAAGCCAAATCTCGTCTCTCCGCAAAGAGTGCCTAAGGTCTAGACGATCCCTGCAGCGAGCTCGAGGCGCCGACGCGCAGGAGCAAAGGCACCTTGAGTTCAAGGCAGCTAGGAAAGCGCTGAAAACAGCCATACGGGACAGCAAGCGAGAGTTGTTTCTCAAGCTATGCGATGAAGCGGAACACGACCCATGGGGACAGGCGTACAGAATGGTGTCAAAAATGGTCAAGACGGGGAGCCAGCCCCCCTCCGACCCGGTAGCACTGAGGGCGATAATTGACGTCCTGTTCCCAAGCAGTAGAGCGGAGGGAATCCGCTCGGCTATTGAGAATTTGGAAAACAAGTCGGTGGAAGCAGTCACAGCAGAGGAGGTGCTAGTGGCCGCTTGGAACCTAGCCTCTAAGAAAGCTCCCGGTCGGGACGCGGTGCCAAATCGAGCGCTAAAAGTGGTTCTGGCCCAAATACCAGAAAAGGTAGCAGCCATTTACAATTAGTGCCTGTATGAAGGATCCTTCCCGAAGGTGTGGAAGAAGCAGAGGCTCCTTCTGCTAATGAAGCCAGGTAAGCCACCCGGAGAGGCCGCATCTTACCGACCAATCTGCCTTCTAGACACGGTAGGCAAGGTACTGGAGAAGATCCTGGCCACGAGACTCCAGGCGACGATAAGCAGGGAAGGTGGACTGGCAGAGGAGCAGTACGGGTTCCGGAAAGGGAAGTCAACGGTGGAGGCCATTATGAGGGTAAAGAACCTGGCAGCAAGCGCCATCCAAGGCACCAGATGGAATGGGGGTGCCAAGCAATACTGCCTGGTTACCACCCTGTACGTGAAGAACGCCTTCAACACGGTGAACTGGCTGCGGACTCTCCAAGCCCTGAAGGAGCTGAGGATCCCGGCATATCTGCTAAGGATGGTGGACAGCTACCTGAGCGATAGAGTACTCCTGTACGACACGCGGGAAGGGCAGAAGGAACGAGTGATCTCCGCGGGAGTGCCCCAGGGCTCTGTACTGGGGCCGCTCTTGTGGAACACTATGTACGATGGAGTCCTCCGATTACCTATGGAGGAGGGTACTACCATCGTAGGATTCGCCGACGATATAGCCCTAGTGGTGGTGGCGAAGACAGTTCGTGGGGTGGAAACCCTAACAAACTCCGCGGTGGCGAAAGTGAAGGCATGGATGTCTAGCGCCGGCCTTCTCCTCGCCCCACATAAGACGGAAGAAGTGCTAATTTCGAGCCGGAAGAAGGTCGAGACTGCGACAGTACTTGTAGGAGGAGTGGCCGTTACCTCGAGGAGAGCCATAAAATACCTAGGGGTCTGGCTGGATACAAGGCTCTCGTTCCGGGAGCACCTCGAGTACGCCCACAGGAGGGCGAGCGAGACGACGAGAGCCCTCTCGCGGATGCTCCTCAACATCAGAGGCCCGAGGCAGGAAAGGCGAAAGCTCATCACTAGCGTGGTGAGCTCCCAAGTCCTCTACGCTGCCCCAGTGTGGGCCGAGGCGATGGGAGTAAGGTATTACGCTCGGGGAATCGAGGCAGACCTCCGCCTCTGCGCGTTATGGACATCCTGCGCCTTTAGGACGGTATCGGACGACGCGGCCCTAGTGATCGCAGGGCTGATACCCATCCAAGAGCTGGTCCGAGAAAGGAAAGAGCTGGCCAATATATATTTGTAATATATATATGTAATATATGTCAGGACAGCCTTTCTTCAGTGTCGGTCAGAGAGAGGGAAGTGAGAGTCACAAGTCTGACAAACTGGCAACGGCGATGGGAGGAATCATACAAGGGACGCTGGACGTTTCGGCTCATTCCGGACGTGGGGAAGTGGACCGGTAGGAAGCATGGTCAGGTAGACTTCTACCTCACGCAGGCCCTTAGCGGCCATGGGTGCTTCCGAAGCTACTTAAAGCGCTTTGGCCACGAAAGCGAGGACTTTTGCCCGTCGTGCGGCAGTGGAGTCACAGAAGACCCTCTCCACGTCCTCTTCGAATGCAGGAGATTTGTAGAGGATCGCCTAACCATGGAGGAGATCCTGGAAGAGCCCTTCACACCCAGCAGCATGGTGCCTCTAATGCTGCAGACGCCGGGGAAGTGGGAAGCCATAGCCGTATATGTGGCCAAGACTATGATGGAGCTGAGAGCCCTGGAGAGGGCACGTAACGGGCGGGAGGAGTAGGGCGTCAGAGTTGTGCGAAGCATTGCTTCACGGCCGTACCGCACGACTTAGGTCCAAGCTCTTGCAGCCCAGTCAGGAAGAAGAAAATGTACAGTAGGTCTATAAGATAGTTTGTAAGGAGAAAATAAATACGAATTTAAAAAAAAAAAACGGGTGTATGTGTGCGTGCGATTTCGTTTTGAAGCCAGCGCGCAAAATTTGGATTTTTGTTACTTTTCAGGCTTGCTACCCTAACAAAATTCGGGTATTCGTAATTGAAATGATGAAAGAAATTATATTATTTGTTATATTATATTTTTTACTATTTCAGCATACATTTTTAATTTATTTAGGAATAAGATTAAGTGTTAGTAGTAAAATGTTTTCTGTATATATATTTTTAGGAATCATTAAAAATCAATATACTGAGAAAGTGTCAGAGTATATTTCAGTCGGAGTCACTTTAAACGCCGATTGCTTTTAAGTTTTTGTTGTTCTGCAAGAGGCTTGTGCATGCCTACTCCAACGATGGAATGATTTTTAGGGGAGGGTGAAGACACGAAAACAGCTGATGGACTTGTTTACCTTTTTTGTTTACAATTTTTCAGGCACTTGTTATTAATTTGGGTTAATTTAATCGTTAATTTAATAATTTCCTTATATATTTTGGAACTTTAAAAAAGTCGCCGCTCGTATTTATTACAGATATATATAAATATATATATCTTTTTTCATTGGTTTTATGCTTTTATATGGATTCTTATATGGTTTTATGATCTATAGTGCATATCTTATTGTATGATCTGCAGTGTAATTTAAAATATATACATG